TAATATACGAACCAACAAGCGAAAGCTGCGGTAAGGTCAGATAGTAAACACTAGGCATTTGTTTTAATAACAGCGAAAGCACTTTAAAACGAATTAGAACTTAGAGATTTTCAAAAAGTAATTTTAACCCCGAACGGAACACGAAAGTGTACGTTAGGCCCTTAGGATTATGATTAGCGTCAATAACCATCGTGAGACGAGAGTCTTCAAATCTCCACTTTCTGCTTAAATATACTGCGAGAACTATTTCATACATCAGTAAGTTATCAAATCCCTGAAGAACACAATTACTATGTATCGATTCAATTAATTAAAATCTAAATAGTAATCTTAGTTTCCCCTTTTAGTGACAATCTTATTCCCTTAAAACATATTCTACCTAGCTAAACATAGTAACTCCCGAGAACACTAGTTTGATTACGAGTCCCTGTGGGATCGATATCTTTTATTACTACGTGATAGACTGTGCACTTGCAGTTAGTTGTATTAGACATAGAAAGTCGCGATCAACGAATCCATACTTGTAGGCCTCTAAATAAATATATATCCTTTCAAACATAGGTCCTTCCTTAGAGTCAGCACACTGCACCAGAACTATATTATTGGGGTTTAATTTAAGCAACTCTTCATTATAACTTCTCAAATATGAAAATTGATTAATTCCAGCTCCTTGAATCATATCCATTTCCCTCATTTTGGCTCTATATGCTTGATCATGGGACAATTTCACTCCTCATCTGTCAAATGACTCAGCAATCAAACCCACGGGTTTTATATTAGGGCCATGTCAACCTGTTTTTGCTTGCCTATTCTTAGGTGTTCTACAACAATAATGTTCATCTATACGACTAACAACTTGCCAAAATTGATTACCAACCCTTTTAATAAGTCTCATGTAGAAATTACAACCTTCCATACACTTAACTACTATCCTCTTGACATCATTTTTCTTAATGAATATATTTTTCTTTATATCCATTGCATACTCCTTTACAGCCTCTCTCACTAAATCTTTGTTATTAAAAACCATACCTAGTTGAAATTTTAATCCTTCACCACTTCTATAAGTTGGAAATTTCTCATTTCCTTTATCATCCCACTATCAGGAGGTGTATGTAGCTGATCAGAGTCATCATTACCATTTTGACACACTATCTTAGCAGCTTGACACACATCTTCACAACCTTGTAGCATTGTGGTCCAATCCACATTGATTGAATCACTGTCATCCTCACTTGTAACATAGTCATCCTTACCTTCACTTGATGAATCATTCTCACCTTCACTTGCAACATATTCATTGTCACCTTCACTTAATGAATCATTGCCATTATCATCCACATGTTCATGTTCCTTTCCATTCATATTATCATCTTTCTTTCCTATTCCAGCCTCCACATTCTCATGTTCATTTCCTTCCACATACTCGTGTTCATTTCCCTCTACATTCTCATCTTCCTTTCCCTCCGCATCTTCATTTCCTTTCCCTCCACATCTTCCTTTCCCTCCACCTCTTCCTTTCCTATCTCAGCCCCATCTATAATATCTAGAGTACAAACTAAGTGCTCTACATACACATCTACAACATCATAATCCTTAACATCAGCAATAAATTTCAGCACATCTTGATCAGAATTTAGGGGTCTAAGGTCACGCGAAAAAATATACTTGGGGTTCCAATACCATAAACACTTAATATTGGTATATCCCTCATTGTGAATCAACTCTCTCAATGACATATGCGACACATAATCCATATCCCATTCCCAGTGCATTTCAGAAATTACCCCGTTAACATATCACTTCACAGGTTTAGACACTAACTTTCCCCTAAGATGAAATTGTATTCTAATGCCTTGCGTTTGGCTTGGTCTGTAATAGAAACAAGGGTTCAGAATAAACATCAATATTGGGGACCACATTCATAATAAACCCTAATTTAGTCTAAACAACATTATTTGGTCCAGCATTAAGAATAAACAACATTTTTTAGGACCCACATTAAGAATAAAGAAAACGAAGAAGGGACCATAAACCCTAATTCCAGTAAAAAAAGCTTCACTTACCTCATACAATATTTCACTTCTTCCTTGTTTTTCATTCTTCCTTGCTCTTTACATTCCATGGTGTCTTCGAAATTCGTTCGCAAATTATTGATGAGGTTATGGACGCAGCTGAAGAAAATATCTCAATTGATATTTTGTCTCTTAGTACCAATTGTCCATATTATTAATGTTACCAAAATGTCCCTTCTCTTTTAATAAAGATTGATCCCTTCAGAGTTCGCTAGTTACTCTATTGGTCTCAACTGACAACATTTAAAATATTTAGGAGCTCTAATTCTTCTAACTTACAAAAAATAGAGTACATAGGAACTCAGTTGATCTCAACTAACAACCAATTGAGCATTTTAGGAAATATGAGGTATTACATTCTCAGCACCTCTAAAATATTTTTCCAAGATGTCCCGAGCCTCATTCAATGATTCTGCATCACCAACTTTCTCAAAGTTGTCTGGATCAACGCATTCATGGATAATAAATAGGATTTTATAATCTTTCTTCTTCAAATCTTTATGTGCAACCTTTTGTTCATCTGTGACATTGTCGTTAATTGATGTCACTCAATTCTTCACAAGATCCCAAACATCTTGATTGCATAAAACATCCTTCATCTGCTTACATCAATTATCATAAATCTTGCCATTCAAAATGAGAAGATTTGATGGAAAATACTCGTTTGGAGGAGAAGTCATTGCTCTATATTTCCCAAGAATCGCAGTAAGTTCTCTAGATATCAAATGTTGGAATCGATCTTGATAGAACAAGATTCAATCACATTCTTGATTGATTCAAGATCCTTGTTCTTCATTCTTCACTCGAGTGGTTCAACCACACGCTTGATTGTAAGATGATTCCTTCGCACAATAATTTGAAGAAGAAAATAAATTTTAAAGTTATAAGAGAGAATATAGAATTGAAAGATTATTGGTTATTAAAGTGAAAGAAAGAATGTATTGATCTTATTATTTACAAATACAAATTGCCTTCCTATTTCTAGTAAGACTACTTGCACATGAAACAATCTCAAACTAGCTAACTCGATAGTTTGTATTTGACTTTATCAAATACATACAACTTTGACTACTAAAAATTGTATTCGTGTATATATATATATATATATATATATATATATATATATATATATATATATATATATATATATATATATATATATATATATATATATATATATATATATATATATATATATATATATATATATATATATATATATATATATATATATATATATATATATATATATATATATATATATATATATATATATATATATATATATATATATATATATATATATATATATATATATAGGCAAAATATCCTTCTTGGTCCCTTAACTATTCATTTTGGTCCCTTAACTTTAAAAAGTTCCATATTGGTCCCTTAACTCTTCAAACCTTCCATATTAGTCCTTTTTGACCTATTAGCAACGGAAAAAAATCAAAAAACCGTCGCTAAATCCGTCGCTAATAGGTCAAAAAGGACTAATATGAAACATTTGAAGAGTTAAGGGACCAATATGGAACTTTTTAAAGTTAAGGGATCAAAATGAACCCCGAGGTATAGTTAAGGGACCAAGAAGGATATTTTGCCTATATATATATATATATATATATATATATATATATATATATATATATATATATATATATATATATATATATATATATATATATATATATATATATATATATATATATATATATATATATATATATATATATATATATATATATATATATATATATATATATATATATATATATATATATATATATATATATATATATATATATATATATATATATATATATATATATATATATATATATATATATATATATATATATATATATATATATATATATATATATATATATATATATATATATATATATATATATATATATATATATATATATATATATATATATATATATATATATATATATATATATATATATATATATATATATATATATATATATATATATATATATATATATATATATAATCTACTATTATAAACTTAATTCAACTCTATCGAATTATATATTTATACATGTTTAATAGAATGAATTATATATTTAACAATAATCTCATTAGATGCTGAATTAAATATATTTCATTACATCATAGTAATTTTTCAATTAGATATCTTACATTTCAAAACTGAAAAATTGAAAGTTATAAAACAAATCCATGAAGAAGGATGGGTGATGTGTTATGTCTGCATATCAACTAAACGACGAGACTCTGCAGGATGCTTTGCGGGATGGAAGAACGTCTTTGTTTTTTGTTACAAGGAGGGCTGTTTTGTATTTTTATTGACCTCCAATTTGTAATTAAAATCAATGGAAATAAACTATGTTTGTTATATTATCATTTGCATTTGTTTTGCCATTAAAATCTGCATTTGCTAAGCTTCTCATCGTCATCCTGAAAATTGAATCATTCCATTACAACCTAAATTGTAAAGCTCCTCATCCCTAAAGTTGGATCTACAATTATAATCTAAAATTGGTTACAACTAAACAATCTTCCATTTCAAACAAACCATCATTAATGGGCAACGACAGTCTATACAAGTATTCCACGAGTAACATTAGATAGTCATCTACTTGAATCAAAGTTGAGCATTTGTGTTGTGCTAGGTCGTGAACAATTCAAAATCTGAATCTAAACAATGCTCACATTTTCCTTACACTAGCTATAAACTGACGCCTTTTCACATGACATAACTTTTTCCCCATTATTCACACATGGACCATGCAAGTAAACACTATTACAGCCTTCTCTCTGTTCAATTATTACATAAGTAAATATTCATTTTCCTTGTGCATTTACTTTATTTTACAAATGCTTCATGTACTTTATTGAAAACTAAATTTACTTTATAGCTTTTGCTTATATGGTTTATCTTACCACAGAAGGAAGAGGAGAATTTGGTATCAAGTACAAGTCATGTTTTCTTTTGATGCTGGCTCCAAATTGCTCAGTCATGTCCAATTCCTCACCTTTTATTCCATTGGGAAGCTTCCAATCAAAGTGATACAACAACAATGCAAGGGTTAGCTCAACATTTATCAAACCGAATGTGATGCCCGGGCACATTCGTCTTCCAGCACCAAAAGGAATGTACTCAAAATTACTTCCCTTGTAGTCAATAGAGCTACCGATGAATCTTTCTGGATAGAACCTCTCTGGTTCAAACCAGTACTTAGGATCTCTTCCAATTGCCCAAGCATTAATGATCACTTTGGTTTTGATTGGTATATGATACCCATCTATCTCACATGCTTGCCCACATTCTCTTGGAAGTAAAAGAGGAGCTGGAGGGTGTAGTCTTAACGTCTCTTTCACAATAGACTTCAAATATTCAAGTTCATTTATGCAGTTTTCACCAATATTTTCTTTCACGTTGAAGATTTCTCTCACTTCATGTTGTGCTTTCTTCATCACTCTTGGATCCCTTATCAGCTCCGACATTGCCCAAATTATGGTAGAAGCTGATGTATCACCTCCAGCACCAAGGATGTCCTGAAATGTAAAATGTAAGAATTTCAAAAGAGACAACTAAAAGAGATATTCTAATTTCATCCAATACATCAACACCAGGTTTTAAACCATGGTTGCGCCACACTCCTTGATATTGCAAAAAATTGCATACTTGAATTCAGTGGTTGCTGAGACACCAAAAACCTTGATGTTGTGGCTGATTGCAATTTTTTTTAAATAGAAAAAGCATGCTTTAATATGGAAAACAATAACAGTGTTCTATTTCAAAGAGATCATTGAGTAAGTATCAAACAGTGATTTAAGTTCTACTTCAAGAAGTTTATAATCCTTACCAGGATTATAGCCTTGATATTGTTGTCAGTTAAGCATATATCTTGGTCAATATCATTACCACCCTGGAAATTTAGAAGAACATTTACTAGATCTTCTTCTGCGTCACCTTGGCCTTGTTTTGCTTCTGACTTTGCTTCTTTATGTTCAATGATGACTTTTTCTAGTAACTCATCAACTTGTCTATGCAACCTCTCAAGTTTTGGCCTCAAACCAGAAACAAGTTGAAGCCATTTAGCTGAAGGAAACAGTTCAGCTATGTCAAAGCCTCCTGCAACTGCTTCTCCATTTCCCAAAGACGGAAGCCCTTCTTGGACTTTGCATTTGTTACCAAATGCAGCCTTTGTAATGATAGCAAATGTTGATGAAACCACAAGTTGAGTGATGTTGATGGGTAATCCTTGCTGTGAATCAATTCTTTTGATCAGATTTGGGAGCACTTCTTCTCTTATTGGCTGGAATGAACTGACACGTTTTTGGGTTAAAAGCTCCATTGTGCATATTTTTCTCAGCTGTCTCCAATAACTTCCATAAGGTGAAAATGCAATACCCGTGCATCCATATGATATTATTTCCATAGCTACAATTTTAGGCCTAGATGCAAATATGATATCATGGGTTTTAAGTACCTCCTTGGCATACTCTGGTGAGGAAACAACAACTGCAAAGATCTCTCCAAGTTGTAGTTGCATCAACGGTCCATGTATTTTAGCCATGTCTCTTAGTTTTCGATGTGGTGTAGAGGTAACTAGATGGTGTATGTGTCCTATAACAGGTAGCTTCCATGGTCCAGGGGGGAGGTTTGTAGATGAGCCTGTTTTCTTGAGATTCCTCCCAATTTTCAGTGCCACAAGAATGAAGAGGAAAAAGGAAACAAGGGCTAATAACTCAAAAGTGTGAGAATCCATGGAGAATAAAGTAGATACTACTAGCTTGGTATTACAAAGTGCTAGCTATGAGCAAGGTTTTAAATATAGTTAGGATTGCATGGGAAGGGGATAATATAAAATAAAATAGTACCGTTTATTACAGTGCTACTAATAAATTTTATAATAATGGTTTTCAACAGTAGCTGACAAGCGGCATCATAGATTTTGGGATTTCTAAAACGGTACCGCAAATGCAATTATAGTGGCGTCAATTTAATTTGAAGGGTGTCTTCGGGTGCTCTCTGCCGTGTAATAGGTTTTCACATAAGCATTTTGTTCTTTTTTTTGTTTTTTAATTTTAATCATTTAGCAATTGTTTTAAACCGTCGTAAAATTTCAGTAATTATTTTTGTGATGGTTTAAAATCTAGAAAATTAAAAAAAAATTATAATTTTGCATTGGTAAATAATTGCCGATAAATAGTTAAAAGTTGAAAAAAAATGAATTGATATTTAATGTTTGGTTTAAAATCGCTATTAAATAGTTGAAATTAAATAGAAAAAGTGACAAAAACGCTACTTAGTTGAATGAGACAACACATGTATTCGTGTTTGGTTTTGTTTCATCACAAATACTTGTACTAAAAAGAACATAACATGTATCTTTGAAAACAACCCATCATAATTTTCTTTATTAGTTAAAAATAGGGCTGGCAATGAACCAAACCAACTCGAAGATAGTTCGGAATTCGACTCGACAATTAAATCGTTGAACTAGGTTCATGAACCAAATGAGTTGAGTATGAGCGAAAAATTAAGTTCGTTAACTAAATGAGCTGAACTTGAACTATACATAGTTCGACTCGTTAGGTTCATGAGTCAACTCGATTACATATGAAAAGAATTATACTGTCTTTAAGATTAGGTTTAAATACTTACTTCAAATCTTAGACAAATTTAATCTTCAATTTATTAGTTATTGAATTAGACTCTCAAATGTATCTCTTGAAAGTTGTGTAGGTTTTGAATTAGTAGATTTCGAAGATAAAGTTAAATTTCAATATGATAACTTTTATTTTATTTTAATATTTTATTTAAAATATATATATTTATTTAAAATGTCAAATATACTAAAAAATATATATATTTAAAAAAATAGTTTTTAAGTTCGTGAACCATGTGAGCTGAACCTAATGAGATGAACCTAACGAGTCGAACCGAACTGTTCGTGAACTTATAACGAGTCGAGTTTGAGCTTAAAAAAAAGTTCGTGTCGAACTCGAACTCGAACTCGAATTCGAACAATTCTTAACGAGTCGAGCCGAGCTGAGGTGAGTTCGACTCGAATCGACTCATTTCCAGCCCTAGTTAAAAAGTAAAAAAATATTTTTTTCACTTTCTTATCTAATACCCACCGCGCGCCTCATGATTTCAATTAAAAAATTTTTTTACAATAGATTTATTTTTTTCTCTTTTTTTATTAGTTGTTTCTAACCTATAAATATAAGCGTGTGTTATTATGTAAGTATTTCTCTTGTTTCTATAATGGAATTTGACTTGACTTAACTTTATAAAAATGTGAAATAAAGTGGTATAACTATATAGTAGCATCCATTCCATTTCATTCACTTTTTTCCCCTTCAATTTACATAAAATTTTAATTATTAAATTATTCATATCTTACTTTAAAAAAATAGAATTCATTAACTTGGAATTTTTTTGCATTGAATAAGTTTGTCTGTTTTATTTTGTACTATATAATTTTCTTCTTATAACTCAATTTTATTTTATTAATCAATTATTGTTGTGTGAAAATAGTATTCATTCGTTGATCTTTTAGGTTTTTTTTTTCTCTTTTTAGTAGATGATATACCACTAAATAATATTACAACATAATATGAATCATACTAAAGTCACATATTTATTGTTTCTTTTCTCACTTTCATTATATGTAATATATCTAAATGATATTACAACATGAATTATTTTATATATTTAACACATAAATAAAGAGAGAGAAGCTCTACCCTCTTTTTAGAAATTCTTTTCATCGCTAACCTTTTGAAACTCTAATCACCCCTTTAACCACCTTGTCCACACTACGCCAGAATTGACTTTTAGCAGCGCATACAAAGACAACGCTTTTAGAAAAAACGCTGTTAAAGAGGAATTAAAAAAAAAGAAAAAAATTGATAACCAAAGACAACACTTTTTGAAAAAGCGCTGCTAAAGGGGGGGACCTAAGACAGCGCTTCTAAAAAGTGCTGCTAAAGGGGGGGTCTAAGACATCCCAAAGACAACGCTTTTTAAAAAGCGCTGCTAAAGGGGGGGACCTAAGACAACGCTTCTAAAAAGCGCTGCTAAAGGGGGGGGGGGGTCTAAGACAACCCTATGAAAGCGCTTTTCTAAAGTGCTGCTGTAGGTCTAGTCTACGAGAGCGCTTTTTCCATAAAGCGCTGCTATATGGCGTATATAAGAAGATCTTTGAGAACACTTTTTAAAGCGCTGCTAAAGCCATTAAAAAGCGCTGTTATAGGTTTAGTTAGAATTAATTTAAAATACCCACCAGAATTTTTATAAGAAACAGAACAGTCATATCGTATTTCTTTCTTTCTTTTTCTCTGGCGAACAAAGAACGTTGCCCTATAAACCCACCGTCGTCGTCCAACCGTCGCCCTCTTCTGTTGCATTTCGCCGCCGGTCACCGTCCGTTTTCGATATCCTCTGCTCGTCTGCATTGCATTTCCGCCATTGTTACAGTATTTGAAGTTTTACTCTGGTTTTCTTTTTTACTTATATTTTCACCATTGTTGCTGTAATCTTTAAGTAGAACTGAATATGTTTTTATTATTTGAATGCAATCAAGTTAAGTCATTTTCTGTATTCTTTAAGAGACAAACTGAATATGTTTTTATTATTTGTATGGATATCTACATGTTAAGTCTCTCTGTTGCATGTTATATATTTTGTATTTTAATCTACATGTTAAGTCTCTCTGTCATTGTTACGGATATTTTGTATGTTTTAGATTGACAAACAAGAGTTTATATTTTTTAAGAGAGTTTATATTTTGTATGTTTTAAGAGAGTTTATAAGAGAGTTTTTATAAACAGAGAGTTTTTTAGAAGAGTTTATAAGAGAGTTTCTATGTCTTAACAGAGAGTTTATATGTTAAGTCTCTCTGTTGAATATGTTTTTAAGAGAGTTTATATTTTTTAAGAGAGTTTATATTTTGTATGTTTTAGATTGACAAACAAGAGTTTATATTTTGCATGTTCAATATAGTTTGGAAATTCCTATTTTTTAAGAGAGTAGCCAACATGAATATGGTTTTATATGATATGGTTTTATATGTTATTATGGTTTTATATGTTGATATGTTATTATGGATTTCTCAATGTTTATATGATATGTTATTATGGTTTTATATGTTTAGTTAGGATTTCTCAATGTTTAGTAAGGGTGTCATTTTGGTTTAAGGATTATCTAGTATTTTTAATATGATTTGTTTTGGTGGATTATCTAGTATTTTTATTTTGGTTAATTATTAATATGGTTTTAATAAAATTTATATTTTGTCTGCTATAGGGGTTACCTGTGAAGAGCAAAGTTGTGATCGTTTCCAAGCATCCTACTGTGTAGCATTCTTAGAAGTTAGTGATTTCTTTACAGGTATTCTTTGTTTTGTTTAACTTTCATAGTTTAGTGTAGATTACTCAATTAGTATGGATAAAAAATGGATGTCTGGTAATCGATTGTCAAAAGAGTACGAGAATGGGGTATCGAAGTTCGTTAAGTTCGCTGTTGAACACGCCAAAGACCCGAGTAGGATCACATATCCTTGCTTAGGATGCTGTTATGGGCGTCGAGTTGACGCCGTTCAGTTGGAATCTCATTTAATGAGACATGGAATTGATCAAAGTTACACATGTTGGACATTACATGGTGAGATAAGTAACGAGAATGTTGAACCCCGGAATAATACGACATGTGCTTCAAAGGACAATGGCAGGGATCAAGGTTATCAAACTCGCGAGTCTACTCATACTCGTAAAGGGTCTGCAGACTCGACTCGTAGACTCGACTCACAAACTCGTACGAGTCTATGGAAAGTTAAAACTAACTTTCAAAAACCTATATGTGACACATACATGACACACATATGTTTTTTTAAACTTATAAATGCGTCATCTTTACACTTATATATAATAGAATACCAATTAACATCAAAATTTAAATTTCATACTCCAAATTTCTTTAAAAAAAATCAATAATAAAACAAACAAAATAGAAAAGTATGTATTTAAAAACTTAAAGTACTAATTTCTTCTCAATTGACTACTATATAAAGAAAAAATAAAATCATAAAATATATATGATAATGGCTTTAAACATCCAAAACTCCAGTGAAATTATCACCATCATCTTCATTGGTATCTTGAGTATCATCAACAAATTCTACATCGGATGAAACACTTTCTTTATCATTAACCAAAATTGGATTTCTTGAAGTTCCACTTCCACCTAATTCAATATTTCCACAACCACCACCACTTCGCACAACATTATTAACAAAAACAACAACTTCCACAACATTGTTAATTATAACATCATGTTACTCAACATTAACTTCAGCTTGCATATTTTCCTCATTAGGATCTTCAATTATCCATTCATCATCTTTACACAAGAGAATATACAAGAGAAACATTCAAGTGAAGCATATTATAAAATAATTACACAACAAATGATTAACTCACAAAAACAAACGTGAATAAAGCAAGAGACCTAATAAACACACACGTCTATGAAAGGATGAAGAGAGGAAGAAACCTTGTTGAAACAAGAGACTAGGAGAAAGAATTTATAATTCTCGTACAAACAAAAAATAAGGGGTTTTTAAAAATAAAATAAAATCTTTTGGAGAATTTACGCCTTTTTTGGGTTTAAAAAAAACAAAATACAAAAAAAAATTATAAACTCGTAAACTCATCATAGACTCGCGATTCTATACGAGTTTATGCGAGTCTACCTGAGTCT